GTGTTTCTCAGACCCTGTTCACACGAGAATGCTCGCGGGTGAAAACGTAAAAAGTATTTTATGTGCCTTTCGTTTACACGGCGACGGCGTTTTTGAGGCTTAAAAACGCAAAAAAAGTGAAACCGAGTGGAAATCTTAAAAACGCTCCACCGCCGCGTTCCCGTGTAAACGGTAAAACGCAAAAGTTTGTTTGACAGTGAAGGTTGTACGCAGGCGCGTGGACTTGGTGTTGTTGTAGTATGCACTCCTAGCCTCCTGAAGTGCATACTACATTGAATTTCACACACTTTTGCGTCACCATTTGCACGCGGATTTCCCAAACAAAACGCTCGTCTAAACGCAGAATAAAAGTGATGACGCTCAACGCCACTTTTGCGTTTTCTCTTCAGTATCGTTTCCGTGTAAACATAGCCTCAGTTCTGTTTTTTCTCATTGGTTCATTATCTTGATTGCTTTCAGATGTCTTGTTTAGACGTTAGTCTTGGCTTGGCGTCGTGTGTGTCTGACGTCGTGATTCAACTTCTCCCCAGTTGTTCCATGAAAACACGGAAAGCTGTGAAGTGATAAATTAGGTTGTTTCTGCTTTGGGTTGACATACACATCATAAAAAGGTAAGCATGACGGACCACTTTTAGTCTCCGCATATTTTTCCACCGACTGCAATTGCGCTAGCGCTAAGCGCTTTCACCGGAAAAAAAGTTTACCCTACTTCCGGTCACAGTCGCTATCTTGTGAAATGCCCGCTTTAACTCATCCACCCTCTTAACATCACTGGACCTCTCGAACAGAACACACATTTGAGTCCTACACTCTTAGAAGAAATGGTTCTATTTAGAACCAGAAATGGTTCCATCCCCCACTTCATATATGGAACTCCAAAATGGCACAATTTTTTGGTAAAAGGTTCTATAGGCCAAGTATGGAACCCCAGGGTTTTAAATAGAACCCAGAGGAACCCTTTTTTAAGAGTGTATAGAACCTTTTAGGGGTTCCAAATACGTGAATGAACCTTTTCTTCTAAGACTGTATAGTTCCATCTCCATGGCGATTATCACGGCCATTATATCGTCCTTGATCTCCGCCTCTCCTCGCGTCGTCATTAAGCTCAACCGTGTTCAGAACGCAGCATAACAAATGAGTCTCATCACTCGCCCTCTAAGCTCAACCAATTCTACCAAATAGTGTTTTTTTAAACGCCTTCCGCAAGGGAATTGCAATTATTTGTCATTTTAATTCATCTGGTCAGACACTGGGAAAAGAAAAGGGACAGGAGCCTGTGTTCGACATTGTGAGCGCTAATGATTCATGGTTCTGTCTCCGGGCCCGAATTAATATTTGAATGTAATTATTACTTCCTCTGCCATTAATGCACCGGCCAAATGAAATCATGTGAGTGAGGATTTCATTAATGCACTGAGAATCTAAAAGGGAAAAAATACCACAGCAAACATCCCCTGCAAATGAGTGACTGGATGCTTGAAATAATCTGTTGAGCATTCTAATGGAGGCTGATCTGTGCAGAACATCATAAAGAGATGTGAATTTCCTGATGCTTTTACTGTAGCATGAATCAGTGGCAAAGGACAGATCTCTGGCTTTTTACTATGAAACAGTTAGAATTCAACCATCAAAATATATAAATTAGATGTGGCCTAGCAATTAGTGCAGATGCTCTGACACTTTTAGCTTTGCTACTCTGTGATATTCTTCAAACTGCAAACTTAAAACCTGATATTATGGGCCCATTTCAAAATTATGAGATAAAATGTTTAAGGACAAGTTCGGTATTTTACACTTAAGATCGTTTACACTTAAAGGAGTAGTTCTTTAAAAAAAAAAAAAAAAAAAAAAACTTTTGATGATAATTTACTCACCCCCATGTCATCCAAGATATCCATGTCATTCTTTCTTCAGTTGAAAAGAAATTAAGGCTTTTGATGAAAACATTCCAGGATTTTTCTCCATATAATGCACTTTACTGGTAACCAAACGGTTCAAGGACCAAAAGACAGTTTCAGTGCAAACTGCAAACTGTTCAAAAGGCTTTAAACGATTCCAGGCGATGAATAAGGGTCTTATCGCTCATTTAAAAAAAAAAAATAACAAAGTTTAAGTTTTATAAGTTCAAATGCTCGGCTTGCTCTGTTCTGTGATGCGCGTTCGTGACTCTCCTGTTCGATTTCGTGCATCAAAATGAACGAATCTTTTTTCGTGTCATTTGGTTCATTCAACGAACGAAATGAACGAATTGACTTAGGAAAAGATTCGGACAAGTGCAATATGACGTGCAAGAAAAATGGCAAATGGTCAGCAATTGTTTTATGACAAAAGTAAGTAAAGTAAATCAACTTATATCTTAAGTTGAGATGACCTTTAATGGACAGATTAATTGTCTACCGTCAGATTTCGCACATCCCTATCAGAAAACACATTGAGTTTCTCCCTCTGATTTTCTCCTGTGAGAAGGGGACAAGATCGGTGATGACAGGCCTAGTGAGGGGGAAGAGATGTCAGAGAGGCACTGGTGACAGGCCTAATGCTGTCAGGTAGCGCTCTCTCCCTATGTGCCCTCTGGATATGCACGCCGCTTCATGAGGCTAGTAGAATTTAATCTGTGCTGATAGTATAATGACATCTGCAGGTCTATTTGTGCAGGAGAGATGTTTAGATGATGATCTTATAAAGTGTGAGTAGCAGAAGGCCAAATCGGTGAGGTGATATAAGTCATGTGAAAGATCCTGTCCAACACCAATAACAAAACTTATGGGTGTGCCTCAGCTGCAACTTCAGTGTCCTACATGGGTAACAGGTCATAACTATTCAGCTAGAAAGATTCACTCACTTCAGCCTGTACTCTCACCATTGGCGTGCCACAAGGTTCAATGCTTGGACCCCTGCCACTGTCAGCTAACCAATCCTGCTTCAAATAAATGTGGAAATACATAAATAAAGAAATGTAGAAATGTGGAAATACATAAATAAATACATAAATGTAGAAATGCATAAATAAATACATATATAAATGCACAAAATAAATAAATAAAAACATGTAAAAATACAGAAACAGCCATTTATATTACAAAATGTATTTATTTTCACTATATTTATTGCATTTGTTTATTTCTACTTTTATTTATTCATTTATTTTTCCTTTTGTCATTTTTAGTCCTTCATATTTCCGTCGTATTTATCAGTAAAATAGCTCAGCAACTGAAACACACAATTTAAAATCTAGCGACACGATTGACACACTCTGTAAATAAGTAAACAACCTGACAGCAGACAGAAAGGTGAGTCGCCTGTGTCACTGTAAGGTGTAGGCTATTTAAGGAGACGACCTGTTTGTCCTTGAGAACCTGCACCACTCAACGTGATTTATTGCGCGATATTGTTGTGCTTTTCAATATTGTTCAAAAGCAAGGCACTGATTACCTCTCAGAGTTCCTCTGTGGTCTCCTGTCAGCCCTTCGCTCACCACCCCTGCGGGGTAAGGCCTCTTTAATTGGTTTTGAAAGGATTTTCATCAGTGATACACTTCTTAATGTTGAGGGCTGGAGCTGGTTAAATTCAACTAACTCTGTTCTGAGGGAGATCCAAAAGGCTCCCGTGTGGAAATTACAGTAGCCTCGCTTATGAGTAGCCTAACAGACAGCAAGCAAATAGAAAACATTAATTAGCTAAATAAACTTGAGCTAGCGTCTTTGAAACGTTAATTTGAGCTAAAAACGCACCAGAAAATAATAACTTTCCCTATTTTGATATAACTTGTTTAGCTTTGTCTACTCCTCCTGGCACAGATCAACAGTTTCTGTAGTTTTATAAAAGGCTTGAGTGGGTATGACATTATTTAATACGGTGTCTCTCAGTCTACAGTAATGGCTCAGTAAATGTGAAAAATCTCTGCAATATTCGGGGCTGTAACGGAGTAGCCTACCTTTTTTCTTTCTGCTACTTAAACTTCTCACACACCTGAGACGGACCATTTCAGTTCTTCACTCAAGAGAGCGCAATCTCGTCTATGAACTCTCATCACTGCCTCACTGGTAGAGTTTAACCTCGTATTTTACCACTGGTAACCCCCAATACTGAATTTCTGAGTTACATCTTTGACCTCCAGTGTATGTGGGATGTCTTTAATATTGAAAAATAATATCATAAATATTCTTTATCTAATCAAAACGTTGCCGAACCTGAACTCCAGCAAACAGTTCCCTCTACTGGTGACAGAACGCTATTGCCGCAGAGTGAGAGTGACGCCATCATTCAGAAGGACTCTGGTGATGAGTGACATCCATGATGGATGGCTGCACCCACAGTAGCATATCGCTGCCCTTAGAGAGAACAATGTCTGTGCAGAACACTGAGCCTAACACCATTGAGAACTGCTATATTTGTCTCCGAACATTGTGCTAAGGACAGCATATGAAATGTCACCCTCATCCGTACTGAATGAGAAACACACAGAAGAGGAGCACAAAACTCAAACAAAATCGTCTGTAGAAGAGTCATACAATAGCAACAACATTAGAAATAGGTAACTCTTAGTTACAAGCTATTAAGTTATTTGCTGTAAATACATAATGAAAGCAAGACAACTAAAATACCCTAAGAAAGGCCTGAGTAGGGCTGTCAAACGATTAATCGCGATTAATCGCATCCCAAATAAAAGTTTGTTTACATAATATATGTGGGTGCACTGTGTATAATTATTATATATATATAAATGCACATGCTTGTATATAATTATTTATATAATTAATTATATATTAACATAATTATTTTGCATATTTATATATATATATGCAAAATATTTATACACAGAGCACCCACATATATTATGTAAACGAAAACTTTATTTTGGATGCGATTAATCACGATTAATCATTTGACAGCCCTAATTTTAATGTATTTTAAAGTATTAATTTCTTAATTCACCATTTGAACAGTATACTGCCAACAAGCCATCAATAGTCTTAGTCCATTTGGAAGAGACATAAATATATATGTTGGTTAAAAGTTTATTTACAAAAAAAAAGAGAGATTACAAATGGCCTAAAATCTAATAAACATGAATACACTCCTAGAACGTTCTATAAAGAAGCTTCTGTCAGCGTTTCACATTCACATACAGAACATTTAGGGGTTCCCATGAGAGGATAATGTAGTATGAACATGTGTCAGTGCTAGTAGACAGTACAGTTAGCAGATGACCGTTGAGTGCACATGAAGTCACTGGTGATCTCTTTATATCCTGGAGCTTCAGTAAGACCGCTGCCTGCACACAGACAATAAACCTCAGAAGCTGGATTTGTCTTTCCATTAATGTTGTTTAATTATTCAAATACAGCCTTATTGTATTTTGACCTACCTTCCATTAAGTTGTAGAGGTTACAATAGTTGGTGCCGTGGTCTGTGACAACATACCAGGTCTCTGACACTGACATGGCCTGGAGAACAAACAAAAACTGGTTATTTGATTGGCCAAATATGATACTTCTACATAAAATCAAATGTCAAAAGCATTTCCATAACACTTACAGACACTTGGCAATGTGTAAAGAATCCATAGGAGACGAGTCTGAAGTTGATGTCATCAACATATTTTTTCACTGGCGTTGTGTGTTTGGCTGATATGAAGTGCGCAGATGCAGACTGCAACTTCAAAACAGAGAGCAAAATATTCATGCAAGTTATTCAGAGAAATATATACACACACATCTTCTTGTATCAAAACACACACCTTGTAGAGACACTTCTCTCCTCCCATGGCACATGTCGAGACTGTCCTCCACTTTTTAATCTGTGTGACCAGAGCTTCATACACATTTCTGCAAGGGAGACTGAAATACCTGGGAAAAGCCGAATACAAGCGCTGAATCAATTGCGTCGCTGTTAACTCCGTACAAATGCTGCCACCTAGAGGAAAACGAAGCTATTGCACTGCCCACTAAAATTAAAGTCTCCCTGTATAGGCATTTTATCACTTAAAACTCACCTTTGTTCACCAAAATTACATATTTAAACGTTTTTTTTTTCCTTGAAAAAAAAAAATCGCCATGCTTTTAAATAGCTTGAATGTAACTCTACAGCCTTGCCTGGGGCGGGGTCAGGGGTTTTCGTACGAATTCATACGAATTGGCCAATTCTTAAAATATGTTCGATTTAGCAAACAAACACGCACTAATACGACTGAGGTCGTACGAATTGTTACGAATTAGCCACCTCATAAAATTCGTACGAATTCTCGAGGAGATTGGGTTATTGGACTGTCTTTGTTTCACTGCAGTTTTAAGGAGTAAATACTCAGCAATGGTGTTGTCTCATGAACATGGTTTGTTTTAAAGCATATTAAAAACACCGCATAGACATGTAAACAACATTAAAAACTTGGTTTTCACCACAGGCCGACTTTAAATATATAGTAGCCTGCATGATCATTCTAACTTGAAAAGCTTTTCTATAAAACTCTAGCCTATAATATCTATAAATAATTTAAATATCACTCATAATTAGAAAAATTAAACATTAAATACATGAAACAATGTATAAACATAACCAGATATAAAAATGTAGAACAGAAAAAATAGACTGATTAAATTTTACTTCTTCAAAACATGTTAATATATAAAATAAAACTTGATAAGCGATTGAAAACAAACAAAACTGTTAAACATTTCATAACTTTTTATCTAATCAAAACCTTATAATAATTTTAACATTATATAATTATAATATAAACAAATAGCCTACATTTACCTGCATTATTTCAGTTTCTTTTCAACTACTGTATATAAAAGTCTTCTGTAAGCAAATCTAATGCTAAAGATTTTGTATTCTTTAATTCTTTTTTTTTTTTTAAATAAAAGTCACAGAAATGAGTATGATACTTTACCACTCGACTTTGCACTGTGCGTGTAGAGGTCCTGCGGAGCAGAATTCAGATGATCCAAATGTCACAATACAAATAAAGAGCAAGTTAGAGAAACGCATGGTTATTCTGCAGTCTCCAGCCTTAAAGTTCAATCAATGCTGAACGTTTCTCGAGAGGTCTTTACAGGACAGAAACAGAATCATAGGATGGTCATGAGTGAGGCTGCGGGGGGAAATTGACTAATTTAATTACAACATCAACTGAGCTCTCGAAAAAGATACGGGCCTACAGGGTGTGTGAACGTTGAGCTCACTATAGTCTCAATCTGAGAGAAGGGAGAACGATTACATTTTTAAAGTGAGTTTGCAGACACTCTTTCTCTGATGTCCGTTTCCCTCGAGGACAAAAAAAAATGTATATTCTTAATAGACTTTAAACCTATTTAAATGGAGGATCAGAAACTGGAACAAATATTAGGGATTCAGGATAAAGAACAGTTTGGACGAGAACAAGAAGAAACTTGTAAAGTTCATCATTTCTTTACCCTCATGTTTTTACAAACATTACTTTCTTTCTTCCTTGGAACACACACACACATCTTCGTTGTCCCCAGATTTACAACACACAAACACACACAAAGATGTTTTTTATGGAGCACTTTTATGGAGTTTTTTTATGTCTTCATTTATTTTTACTTTTTACCTCACAACTGCATTTACAATTTTTTATTTTTTGGAAGGAAATTTGAGCATGCACACTTTAGTGCATTTTTACAAAGTGCTATATAACCCGAGACAAAAAAGGCCTCAAACCAAGCTTTTGTATTCTGCCAACACAATGCACAAACTGGTACTCGTCAAGTCATATCATATTCCTTCAGACCTCCACGCACACACTCCTCAAGGATGTTCTGCAGCATCACATGTCTCTCAAAATGATAAACTCTTACTATTCTGGTCAGGAACAACATGTTTGCTGTTTTTTGCAGGCCTGAAGCTGCTGTCCTGACGTTGCTCAGAAGTTGAAGAAAAAGAGGGATAACAGCAGTGTGTGAACTCATTGGAGGGCTGGAGGAAAGAGCAAAGATGCTATTTTAGGAGAAATGAAATAGCATGTTGACATGTTTTCGTCAGCATGCTCTTGCTCAAGGCTCCCTCGGTCCCTCCACTCTTGCCAAAGGACCTTAAGGTATCACAGATTTGGACACAAATAGTCAAGCAGTAAAGTCACAGTCTACTTACAGTGTCACCAATAGTCTAGCATAATATCTATCCATCCATCCATCCATCCATCCATCCATCCATCCATCCATCCATCCATCCATCCATCCATCCAGGTCTGTTAAAGTTTGTATTCCAAGTAAAAAAAATAAAATAATAAATCCGATTCTTACAGTAATACGACATTGCATAAATTGCATATTTAAAAGGTTTAAAGTTAAATCGGTATTTTATATGTAGACCTTCTATTCTATAGTAATATGGCAGAGTTTGATTTTGATGCCAATAAATGAACAATTTTTGCCTTATTACCTGAACTGCATCTTTTGTTTACCCTTTGTTTTTAGCACCTTGTTCTCCAGTAAAAAAATTAAAATCATAAATATGAACAGTGTCTGGCTCAAATCCACAATGGTGATTCATACAGTGTTGTGGGGTTTGAACCTAACTATTGAGTGAGCAGCCTATATCAACCAAGAGATGTCGTCTACTGCAGAAGACTGTCTTCTGACTGTTCAACAGCAGATCTGAGACATACTGCAGCACTCCAACATAACAGCAGAGAAAATGAATAAAGAAGAACGGCAAGTGTTAATGAAACGTGGGTTACGTTGAGTAGGTGCATAGCGGCCCGGAAGTTAAAAACGAACGGTCGGTGTAAGCAATGCTCTATTTTAGTTCTTAACTGTGTGTTTAAAATAATGACTGTTACAATCTACGTTCATTTTTTAGGAATCAATTTTTGTTCGGATCCTTTCTGAAGCAACGTCATGACGATTTTGTCACGTGCTAACTGTTTTTTTTTTCTCAGCGCCGTCAACAAACAGTTGATTATTTGGTGAGGGTATCGCACAATTGTTTAATTAAGATTTCTGGGATTTCTATTTGTGTGACAGGTTAAAATATAATAAAATTGAGAGAATAAAACGATTATACTATTACGCGCGCAGATACTTCCAATGAAATGAAAAGCGTTTTGAAATTTGAATGCGCGTCAATGTGGAAAATCGGCTTTTGAGCCTCCACGCGCCCCCTAGAGGAAACATCAATTATTGTCTAGGAACAGCAGCAGCGCAATGAAAGACACGCAGAGTCTCTGTATGCGAAAATAGCGGTGGGTCACTACAAATCAAACGGACAGAGGGCGGGTAAACAGTCACCGGTGAGGGAAATTTTCATCTCATCCGTTTGCTCGATGGTGTCACGGCAGAGTCCATCACAGGTAACGTCATAACCTTGAGATGTTTTTCACAATTATATATAATCGGGTGGGTCATCCTCTCTGCGCTCATTATGCGGGATCTACAGAGCAACCGTTGCCTGCCACTGCAATTATATAGAGATATAGCCTAGATATTGTTTCGGTTCTTCTTTTTATGAATAAACAATTATGTATATTCTGCTGTTTGCATATGACCAGACCTTTGGCGCTCTAACAGGTCACACAGCCTGTCTGAGATTTCAAAGTCATACAGAATCTACCATTCTATTCTATTCTATTCTATTCTATTCTATTCTATTCTATTCTATTCTATTCTATTCGTTTCCATTCTGTATTCTTTGTTTGGAAACATTTTAACATTTAATACCTGAAACCCTACACCTTGCATCCAACCTGTGGATCTTAATATTATTTTTCAACATTTACTTAAAGATTGTATTTAACATAACTTTATTGTTGAGTAATTATTTAAAGTTATTGATTTATTAGTATAATCAGCATTTCCATCCAAATCTCTCAACCATAATACGTCCAGATGTTTTACTCATATTTAACTTATTTATAATTTTCCTTATTCTCAATGACGATTGCCATTAGATTCCTATTACTTTAATACAATAACGAAAACCCTAACAATACAATAGATACTTTTTTTTTGCATATATGTATATATATATATTTTTTTGCATATATATACTATATATATATATATATATATATATATATATATATATGAAGAGTTCAGATGCAAAAGCCTCTAAATGCCATTTGAAATTTTCTTCTAAAATTACCATTTTTATCAAGCTTGTAAATTTAAGTTCAGTAATTTCACTTAAATGACAATTAATAGGTAATCTTCATTGCCATTTAAGTGAAATTACTGAACTTAAATATACAAGCTTGATAAAAATGATCATTTTAGAAGAAAATTTCAAATGGCACTTAGAGGCTTTTGCATCTGAACTCTTCATATATATATATATATATATATATATATATATATGCACGGCCGTCCCAAGCATGGGGCCCTGTACACACATACATTTTGGGGTACAAATCTAGAGAGATTCTCTTTTCACTAAATTGCACAAAACAAAATCGGCATCTGAGATCTCTTTTAACAAAGTATTATTATTCCATTAATGTCTTTAGATCCAGTACGGGGTGCTTTGGGCCTGAAAATGGACTCTATTTCCCTGTTGGGCAGCAGCCCGGCCAGCACCAAAGTTTGCTTCCTACCCAATGGGCTGAAGAACGGTTCCAACGAGGGATCTGGCAAGCCCACAGTCGGCATCATCGGATCTGGGGACTTCTCCAAAAGCCTGACCCTCCGGCTGCTCCGCAGTGGGTTTCACGTGGTGGTGGGGAGCCGACAGCCCAAGAGAGCGGCCGAGTCGTTCCCGCATGTGGTAGACGTGACCCATCACGAGGATGCAGTGGGGAAGACCAACATCGTGTTCCTGGCCATTCGCCGAGAGCACTATTCCTCTCTCTGGGACATCAAGCACCTGCTGGCAGGGAAAATACTGGTGGATGTCAGCAACAACAGACGGGTGAACCAGTATCCAGAATCAAACGCAGAATACCTAGCCTCCCTATTCCCAGAATCCATCGTGGTCAAAGGCTTCAATGTGATCTCGTCCTGGGCCATGCAGTCAGGCCCCAGAGACTCCAGTCGACAGGTATGTTGTCCAAAATGCAGTGTAACATTTTCCATTTAAAGGCCATGGTGCAGGTTTGGCAATTTTCTAGTTGGTAATAAACATTTAAACAGTTATCCATTGTATCTAATGTTGTAGGGTACTCAAAAATTGAAATATAATACGGAAAAGTGGGTGAAATGTTAGCTTTTAGCTAAAGCTAAGCAAGGATTCTTATATGTCACTCCTGAAACACACCATGTGTGCCTGGCCACTAGTGTCTCAACCTGAGTTTAACCTCAGTCCTCATGACCCCTTACTAATAAACCTAAACCCATGTTATCCCTAAAATCAGAGCGAAATGAGAGGTGGATGACACCCTGGTTGTAAATCTAAACCTGACATAAACTGTAAACGTGTCCCTCAAATATGATTGGTTGATTGGAATGTTGTTCCAGGAACACGTTGTACTTGGTGACATCACATTCAATCTATACAGTACCAGTGTTATTTATATACTATTATTGTACACAAAACACAACATTAATACAAAGGAAGATATATTAAAGAATATGGGTATGAGGGTGATGAGGATGAGGATTATGTCTTCTGTATTAGCAGAGACCTCTTCCAGCCAGCAGTGAATGTGAATGAGTTTCTGTGAAGAACTGATTGGAATGATGAACAGATGAGCTGTGGAATCTCTGTGAGCTGAAAGAGGAATAGATTTTATTAACACTATGAAAGATCCATTAAAGCCATGCCATAAACCTGCTCTTATCTCAGTCTAATTTTGAACGCTTATAAACTCAGTGGATTAATTGCACTTTAGTTATGGGTTCTAGGGAATTGTTCTTACTGTATAAAATCATTCACACTAGTTCATTGGAAATAGTTTTTTTTTTTTTTCTGTTGATTTCCATGTATTTCTAACTACTTGGGATGCACTGATATTATACTTGGCCTGTACCGATAATGATTTATTGATAATTATTTTACGTTATTCTATAATATTTTTTAATAAATTAAATCAAAGTATAACATTAAAAACTAAAACTAACTGTTTCAAATGTTACAAGTGAATTAAGGCATCAGAAGATTTTAAATATATTTAAAGATTACATTAAATATTCTAGTTAATTTATCAGTCTTTTAAAGATTAACTTTAAGTGAGCGTTAGATGATGGCAAAAGGGATCAAAATGCCAAATTAAAATCAGGGAAATGATCTTGTCAATTTAAAATATATTTAAAACCAGTAAGAAAAAAACCAACATGATACCGACATATATTGTGCATCTCTAACGACTCATAAATACAGTATATGGCATTCATACTGTATGTCTGACACCACATTAAAAATCTGCCATTCACAATCTAATTTTGGTCACCAATATATCCGCCTGATTGCTGTTGTGAATGAATGATAATGATAATTGCCTGTAATCTCTTTATACAGGTGTATATTTGCAGTAATTCGGCGGACGCTCGACAGCAGCTCATTGAAATGTCCCGTCAGCTCAGTTTCATCCCTGTGGACATGGGCACCCTCTCCTCTGCCAAGGAGATCGAGAATATGCCACTGCATCTCTTCACAGCCTGGAAAGGACCTGTTTTGACCACCGTCGCATTGTCCATCTTCTTTTTCGCTTACTCCTTTGTGCGGGACATCATCCATCCTTATATGAAGACCAGACAGAGTTTTTTCTACAAGATTCCTCTGGAAATAGTGAACAGGACGCTGCCTGTAGTGGCCATAGTTCTGCTAGCACTGGTGTATTTGGCTGGACAGCTGGCTGCCGTGTACCAGCTGATCTACGGGACGAAGTACCGGCGTTTCCCGTCCTGGTTGGAGGGCTGGCTGGAGAGCCGCAAACAGCTGGGTTTGTTGAGCTTCTTCTTTGGCTGCATACACGTGCTGTACAGCCTCTGTCTGCCCATGAGACGCTCCGAGAGATACCTGATGCTCAACATGGCCTATCAGCAGGTGTGTGTGTGTGTGTGTGTGTTTTACATCTTTGAGATCCAGCAATTCCACTGAAACCATCCTGAGCATCCTGGACTGTTTGAAGCCAATATAACAATAATAAGTAAATACAAAATAAATATGTAAATATATAGAGATACAATAATATTAATAAAAATATATATATTATTATTATCTTTATGTATTTATTTATTATGATGATGCTTATTATAATAATGACAATAATTAAATTAATAATTAAATACAAAATAAATATATACTGTATATTCAGATATAATGAAATATGATGATTATTATTTTATCTGTCTGCATTTATTATTTATGATGATGAAGATGCTCATAATTATTGTTATTATTAGGATTATTGTTATTAATCATCACAAATAAGTAAATAAATAAATATATCTATAAATACATACATACGTACATACAGATGAGGTAACAAGAATACCACCAATATTATTAATAAGCAGTACATTAAATATGTCCAAGCTCATAATAATCTATTAAAAAATTATCTGCATCAGTTTAAAAAAAATAAAATAATAATATTTAAAAAAAAATTAATTAAAAAAAACAAAAAACAAAACAACAACAACAAAAAATATATATATAATATTTAAATATAAAAAAATATGTAATATTTTTTTAAATATTAAATATTTTAATATTTAAATATATTTAATAATATTTTAATATTATTAATATTTTAATATTTAAAAAATATTTTAATATTTAAATATATATATATATATATATTTTTTTTCTTTCTCTGTAGGTGCATGCCAATATAGAGAACTCATGGAACGAGGAGGAAGTTTGGAGAGTGGAGATGTACGTTTCCTTTGGCATCATGGCTCTGGGGCTTCTCTCTCTATTAGCTGTCACTTCCATCCCATCCATCCACAACGCGCTCAACTGGAGAGAGTTTAGCTTTATCCAGGTAAGACTTCAATAGGCAGGCACTGCCACCTCCCCATCTTGCATTTTTGGATAAATATGATTTCAATAAGCGTCTATATCCTGTCAGTCTACCCTAGGTTACATCGCACTGCTCATTTCCACGTTCCACGCTCTGCTCTTTGGCTGGCAGCGGGCATTTCTGGAGGAGTCTTACCGTTTCTACATGCCACCTAATTTTGTCCTGGCTTTGGTTCTACCCGTCACGGTGATAATCGGAAAAGTGGTGTTGCTGCTTCCCTGTGTGAGCCGGAAGCTGAAACAGATCAGGCGTGGATTAGACCCCAGTCAGAGCCGTACCAACCACGAGAGACCAGCAGCCCACGTTTCACCCGAGAGGGTCACCATCATGTAACTCCACCACTAGTTATTTGATATCACCCTAACGTGAACTCTCCGTCTTTTGTTTCTAGTTGTGCTTATCATACTCATAATACCCGACCACTGTACAGCCCATCTGTAAGGTGACATGTCAGCTGCTTTTTTGGATAAGGGACTAAAAGGTTTGTTTGTAATTAGTATTCGGTTCCAGATGATGAATAGGAGTTCAGTTGGAACTGCACTGGTCATGTGACCTCAATTACCCCTTGAAGGAGGATGTCATGTGACTGGATGACCTGATCAAGAGCTTTATTGTATCCCAAACTTCTTATTTACACACACACACACACACACACACTACCGGTAAAATATTTTGGGTTGGTAAATAGTCTCCTATACTTACCAAGGCTGCACTTATTTTATTAAAGTACAATAAAATAGTAATATTGTGAAATATTATTCAAATATTTTAATATATTTTAAAATGCGCTGGCAAAATAACCCAATCTAACTAAAATAATTCTAGTTTGCTGATTTTTGTGCTCAAGAAATGTGTATTATTATTATTGTGCTGCTCAATATTTTTGTGGAAAAGCTTTAACATAGCTTTACAGCAAATACGTAAAGGTTTCGGCAAAAATACCACATAACAATAGCTTTAGCTTTAACAATAGCTAGAAAATGACCTTAAGTGGTGTCAAGATGTTCCCAAGCTCCATCCTGGTATGGAAACACCCTCTTTTCTCTATCCAATCAATTCCAAATGGGAGTTTGGAAAAGAAATCAGGTTAAATTGGACCATTTTTTTTACCATTGGATTAATTACATTCACAAAACATTCACACTGACATCATGTCAGCCCAACATGTCATAATGTTAGTGTTACACCAAATCTGTTTTAACATCTGTACAGGAAAAGCAATCCCACGAAATGCTAAACCACTGGAAATGACCTGCACAGACTCACTGATAAACATCTCATGGTAAAAGACAGCTCTTATTTCTGCACTGTTTCTTGTGACGTGTTCTGAAAACTGTTTTGTGTCACTTGTCTTGTTGCACAACACTACCGTATCTCTGCCTACGGTGTGTTGCTTTTTGGTAGAATGTGAACACAAACTTCTGTGCCTCACTTGATGCTTGGAGTGAGTACCAATAAATACAATACATCTCTCCAAGACCTTCTTAATTTTTTTTTTTTAAATATGCAAGATCATAACAGATAGATCATTATAGTGCACATTCAAAAGTTTGAGATCTGTATGATATGTTTGTGAAAATCTGTTTTCTATTTTAATATATTTTAAAATGTCATGTAATGTAAAGCTTCATTCAGCATCATTACCTCAGTCTTCAGTGTCACATGATCCTTCGGAAAGCGTTCTAATATGCTGATTTGACGCTCAAGAAACATGTTTTATGGTCTGAAAACATTTGCTGCTTAATATTTCTAGTGGAAACTGTGATACTTTTTTCATGATTCTTTGATTCTTTTTTTGTAAAAGTCTTTACTGTCTCCATTCCTCAACATTTAGCACCGTCAATAAACAGATTCACCAGCAGATGGCACACGTCTCCCTCTCAAATAGAGCATTGGAGTTGCGCAAGATCACACAGCAGTTTGTCAGTAAGAGATAAAATGTAATATCTTCATCCCCAAAATGTTTAGTTTAGATCTTAGCAGGCGTATCTGAACCCTTAAGGAACTCCTGAAGATCCGGACACATAATAATATCAATTAGGGTGATGAGAAGAGCGGAGTTCGTCACTATGGTCACGTGACGTTCTGAGGCCTTAGTGCGCGCTTTTAAATCTTTCATTTTCAAATGTTTTGATGAAATACCACCATGCAGTTTGTGCCGACCTTTTACAAAGAAACTTCCCACAAATAACTACAAATGCAAGACAGAGACATTTTTTTCATACCACGCTGAGATTGTAACCATGGTTACAAATGTGCTTCCTGCTAAGTTTGAAAGGCAGAGATAGATTAGTCTTAATTACCACTAATGATCTACAAACAAGGATAAATTGTTTGCCTGTCATACTCCGGTACAGGTTATCACCTCAAACCTTCATAGCCCCACAAAACTTACATCTAATTTATGCTTATGTCGTTCATCAACACAGCTGCGGTAATTGCAGGGGTGAGTAAAAAATGCATTTTAGGAGAGCGTGCGGCCAGCGTGCGTTCATACTGGATTATATAATATAATAATTATTATTTATTTAATAATAAATAGTCTCTGTGATTAGCTTCTCTTCCATTTTTCTCGCAGCTAATGTTTTGGTAGGAACGAAAGTTTACATTCATGTTTCTCCGGAAGCAGCCAGCGTGAAGGACATCTATATTCCGATTGGTTGCTGGCGTTTTGCCGCTACTTGCCGTTGAACCACGTCACAGCTCATTACCATAAAGTTGAGCTTCTTTCAACTTTCTTAATGACGGCGCCCAAAACGCGACGCCGATGGATTTGACGCTCCTTGCAGCTGAGAAAAGCCAGCTTCCATTGAAAATGAATGACTTCCGGCCGCTTTGGAAGCTCAAGTCGGCGGCGGTGTGAACATACAAGGTAGGCTATTTCTGGCTTCAAAACTGTGCACTAGTCATATGAACTATTTTATGGCACTTTTTATGGTACTGCATATGAAAAAGAGCAGCGTGAACATTTTTCTAAGCATCTCACAGAATAAAGAAAGCCAAACAAGTTTGAAATGACACGAAGGTGAATAAATTATGTCAAAATGTTCGTTTTTGGGTGAACTATAAGCAGCTTTTGCAACTATAACCGATATAGTAACACATTTCATTCTCACGTTCTCTGCTCATCCAAACCTCTATCCAATGTGATAAGGGGTTTTCTTGATTTGGGAGCAGCACTCGGTTCTGTGATTCTCAATTGTGGGTGTTGAATAAGTCTTCTCTCACTTGCCCTTTAATTCTTCTCTCTCCTATCGATCGCCTTTTCTACTCCTCTCACCAGAAGACCTGAACGACTCTTCCTCCTCTCACCGATTGCATAATCTTCACTATTAACATATGAAAATGGCTTCCATTGTTAATGTGTGAAGATCTGCCATGCTGTCTGCTGATGGCATGACAAGGAAAAAGTCTTAGACCTTTGCTTTAAAAGAAGATAAAACTAAAAACGAAAAGGCTGTCATGATTTACTCGCCGCCATGTCGTTCCAAACCCTATGATTTTCCTTTTTCAGTAGAACACAAATGGAGCATTTCTTTTCTTTCCCTTACAATGAAAAGAAAGTGAATGTCGACAGATGCCGTCGAGCTTTACAAATGTCAAAGAAGCGGAAGAAAGAATGTCATAAAGGTTTGGAATGACACTAAGATGACAGAACTTTCATTTTTCGAAGCACTATCATTTTAACTGTTCTACTGTGCAGAAATCTACTAACATCTGTATGTGGTTTTGTCATCCTGTTTATTTGATCTTTCTTTCTGGAGTTATATGCTGTTCTCTTGAGAGTGTCCTTAAGATTAACAGGCCTTGTTCTGTTTTAACCTCAAAAGGGGATGTTGTGTTGAAAGTAGAAGTGCTGGTCATTCTGACACGGAATGATACACTTATGGAGGCACTTTACTTTCTTCCCGATTAAATAAAAAGGAAATTGCTCCACTATCATTTATATGCAGAACTATCTTCATTATGAAAGCCACCAGGAAGCCGACAGTCTTGAACCACTGCCAATAAAACCAATCAGAGCGTAGCCAGGGCCTGAGGCTGCAAACCAACACATACAGAGAGAGAGAGAGAGAGAGAGCATCTCATAGAGGATCAAATGAAACAAATTAGAATCAGAATGGAACATCTGGATTGTTTAGAACAGATGAAAGTCACATAGAAAAGGTGAGAGAATATAATAGAATAGCAGAATATTATTTTGATGGTTTACTTAACTATAAATTTGTACCTGCATGTCAACTAACTCTCAGAGTATATGTTGATTGTTAGGGTTAGGGTTCAGGTTAGAATAAGTAGATGTTCTTCCAAAGTTACAAAATGTCGGTTGGGGGAGCATCAAAATAAAGGGCCCTATTTTACCGATCCTATTTTACTGAGCTCATTGTCTAAAACGCACGGCGCAAGTGCACTTAGGACGTGTCCGAATCCACTTTTGCAAGTTTATCCATTGGAAAAATGGTTGGTGCACTCGCTGCATGGTCTGAAAGGGTTGTCCCTATTCTCTTAAAGGGTTAGTTCACTCAAAAATGAAAATTAAGTCATTCCTTCGTTTCAAACCGAATAGAATTGAATAGAAGAGAGTGGAAAAGGAGATAATAAAGCACAACAGAATACAGCAGGCAAATGAAGTGCATTGATTAGGCATTAATAAAGCTGCTATGTGGTATCAAACGTAAACTGTAAAACTGACAGAATGTTTTGAGAGGGGGCTTGTTGGCGTCCAGATCTGGGTTTCGTCCAGTGACACGTGGCGTAGGTGGGACAGCTGTGATGTTCAGTCTGCCGGGGAATGAGTGGGCCTGACTGGACTGCCAGCTTCCCTCATTAAGATTTGATTAAGATTATTGTGCCCTTTCACGGAAAGCAAACAGAATGTTCTTCATTTGCTCTTCCTCCAACTCTGTCACCTTGTCCAGGCTGTTTCTGTTTTCCCTTTTACGTTCATCCGTGAGGACGTGTGTTAAGAAAGGTTAGAATGCGATTACATTGATTGCATACAGCGTGTGACACTATGACATTTACATGCATCTAACGAAGACAATGGTATTATGTTCTTGATCAATATTAAATTCAGTCTTGGGCAAACACGTCCCTCCTTCATATTTCCTCACAAAGAATATGAACAAGAATATGAATATTATTATGAAAATTATCAGTACTGCAGTTGCAGAAGCCGTGTATCATAGACTGTAAAAAAGATTGTGTGCGACGTGAGTGTGTGTGCGTGCATATATATATATATATATATTAGGGCTGTTAAACGATTGCATCCAAAATAAAAGTTTGTGTTTACATAATACATGTGGGTGCACTGTGTATAATTATTTTATATAAATACACACACACACATACTTGTATATATTTAAGAAATATTTTTATGTATATACTGGATATAGATGTATATATAATTTATATTATATATAAATATTTTATATATAAATAATATTTTTTTCTTAAATATACATGCATGTGTGTGTATTTATATATACACAAACGTTTATTTTGGATCCGATTAATCGCGATAAATCGTTTGACAGCCCTAATATATATATATATATATATATTACACTCACTCACGTCATATAAACACAAACTTTCATGTTGGACGCAATTAATTGTGATGAAATGATTTGACAGCACTGTACATGTGTGTTTTCTGAAATAAAACATAGGGAAAAAAATAGCATTTGGGTTTTTAACATTTTTAAAGATTTAAAAAAAATCTTTAGATTAATCAATTATTAAAATCATCATTAATAGCGATTATGGTATTTTCTCAGGACCTGTGGTAGTCATGGTCGATTTTTTTTTTTTTTTTTTTTTTTTTTTTTTTTTTTTTTTTTTTGTACCGACACATAAACAGTTTCATGAATTCACAACATGAGGGCAACATACCGCCTGTCCTTCCTCCACGTGTCCCAGCGGAAAGGTGATGGGATCGATATCCACATGTGCGATTAGTTTTCCACATAAGGCTGTGACAGATAGAGATAATCCCTGCATAAATCACACTGCTGCAGTGTGTGATACATCTAGCCAATCAATCACCTGCAATCAAAAACATGCAACGCCCAGCCACTCTGTCATCCAATCAGAATGCAGCTCTCTGAGATGAACAGGTTGTTCTGCCTGACGACCCGGCCCAAAGATTCTGTTGAACCAAAGAGGCACATTCAGGACAGCCAAAGAACAATATATGTATCTCTAAAATGTCTCAAAAGCAACAAAATACAATTTTCACTATTTCTTAAAATTTCAACCAAGGTGTTCTGTTTGAGGAGTAATGAGATATTTCCTAATCAGGATCTTGAACCTAATAAGAACGGCAGAGATCTACGCTGAAAGAAACACAGCCCTGCAACCCTGGAATCTGGTTGATATGTTGCCACGGAGATAAGAATGGCATGTTGTGTTTTTTTCATTGGGCGAAAGACTAGCTTGACTCTCATTTGATTGGTTTTCAAAAAG